GTAAGTTTTCAATGCTTATAAAATCCTGATTCTTGTGCATATTGTACAATTGTAGACTAGCTTAAAAGTTGTCAGAATAACACAGAAACCATGCAATTTCATGTTACTTAATTCTCTTTAGGTTGTCATTTAAACACTTTGCTTGTGTGTATCTCTTAATGATATTCACAGATTTTAACTTAATTTGCCACAAAACCAGAGGAGGAAATACGGAACAGGAAAATTGTATTTTCGTTTATCTTCCAAGTGTGTAATAAAGATTTTAAAATATTGATTTTTTTTCCCCAAGGTGGATAGTTATCTTTCTTTACAATATTAACTCTTCGACTACAATCTGTGGTTATTATAACAATGTCCTCTAGCCTTCATCAGGTATGTTTTAATCTTCAGAGAATTTCAAAATGAATTTTTTATTTAATTTATGAAAACAGAGTCAAGTGGTTGGTTCCAATCTAGTCGAATGTGTATTTATTGTACTGAATAATACAAATTTGGCACAAGGCCAATGGGTTGAGGCTGATCTTCACTATTCCAAACCTAGCTAATCTTATTCTGTAGTGAATTACAGCAGAGGGTAAAGAGGTTGCATGTATTTTGTGCAACACTAGAATAAAATAACTTGCCTCCAGCATGAGCAAAGATTCAAATGTGCCTCGCGTGTAAACTGTCCATAGGAGGAAGAAATGGCAGCTTCACAGGTTACACATTTAGAATAGCTAGATCTCGGAGTAAGATGCTCTCTCACGAGATTATCTTTGCACATAGGCAAATTCTGTCAATGACACATAAAAATTGGAAGAACGAAGCAATGCGTAGAAAGGAAAAACAAAAATGGTTGACTGCTATGTTGAACTGATGGCATGTGTTGCAGATGAGAGAGAAGCTTATTTTAGGCATTGGTTGCAAGAAAAGTTTAAAGCTTTTTTGTTACAGCGGCCGGCTATGGATAATTAGCAGGACAGACCGGGTTCTATAGCCTTGGATGGCAACTGGTCTACCACAGAAAGAAATGGCAATCTACTGTAAGGGAGTGGGGGGAATCTTCCTTGTCAGTCATGTATCAAAAGATACATGATCGCATAAGCGTGTATCACGCATGGCACACAACTGAACTGAACGAACAAGCAGAATTATATGTTGGGTTTGAAATTCCATTAATCTTAACAGGCAAGGGCAGCAAGAAGAATGGCAAAAACAGTGAGGTTATAATGACCAAAATAAGAACACCAGTTGGAATAAATCCGTGCATTATTATTACGGTATTGTTAAAACATTCCCGATAAAAATCAATGCTTGTAGAAACTGTCAGATACTCAAAAACAAAATACCTGCTTTCTCTCATCTAAACTTAGATGGTTCCTTCTTGTCTCATTTAAAATTCAACTTTACCTCCATTTGTCTTTTCATCCTCTGGAGAAATCAATACAAATTTCTTCATTTGTTTTCACTTTTTCATTTTAATTTTGATCTTTGTCTTCTCCAGAAACACATTTTTTTTCTCAAATTCAAATTTTATTATTGATTTGAAAATTGATTTAGTATTTAACACAATTTTCTAATTGAGCAATTTTTAAAAAAATGTACGAGCCTTTTACAATGTCTGTAGATGTATTACTCATCTTTTTTTCTTTTTTTTTTAAGTAACCCATTTCAACTCTTTCGATTCCCCCATAACTTTAATTGACAAGAGATTTAACAATAGAAAAGCTAGGATTGAATATTTCTCTTGTCATGGATTATTTGTAAATCCATGATTTAACTTTAATTGTCAATAAAATAAAATCTAGAAATATAATTATTTTATAGTACAAGATTATTTTATTCTGTTGTTTTGCAGTGCTGTTATCATTCCAAGAATTGTTCAGACTATTGTAACCATTATTTCTGTTGCTGTGGTAACAACAAATTGTTACCAGTGTTTCACTTGGTCTGTTCTATGCCTCTACGTTCTATAATTTTGAGAAGTGCCATCATCATTCCAAGATTTTAACTAAACCATTCTTTTGCTGTCTGTAATTTTGATGCAAGTCCTTATTGCTCTAAGAGTTGTTTAAAAAAAAAAAGGAAATTAATAACTTTATTCTTTTATGCCGCTTTCATTATTAAGACATTTTCACCAATCCATTCTATGGATAGTTGGAGGCATAATATAGTAATGGGTTGCTGCTTGGACTGAGGATTTGGAGAGCTGAGTTTGAATTTCCAGTCAAGTTCATTACATTGTTAGGTGCTAATACTCTTGGGCAAGATATGAATCCTCTTTTTCCTCCAGCTATGGGCAAATAGGACAGATTGGGTTCTATAGCCTTGGGTGGCAACAGGTCTAGAAGAAGGAAAACTCTGAATTCAAAACTGTATGTAGCCCTTGTGAGGCACATTATGCAGCTAATGAAAGGATTGTGTCACATTGACACAATTATTATTACTACAGTCGAATCCTTCATTCAATGTTCTTTAGAAGGGCAATGGTAACTTTGGTAATTTTGAGAAATTATCAATCATTTGTCAAGTATTTTGCCTTAGTTGTTAAAATGATGTTTCAAGCGACCTATGGTCTTTATCAGGTGTATAATCAGACTGAAGAAAAGAAAGCTATATCTAAAAGTGAAACAAGAAGGTTTTGTCTTACATACCATGAATGATGTGATACCCATTATCATCAGTAGGTATGCTGCAACAACTTTTTTTCTTTAATTCTCCTTCGACAGACCACACAAAACATGAGCTCTTTTTGAGGCAGGTGAGTTTTTCTTGCACCCTAGTTCGGCAGACCCAGGACAGAGCAAAGTATTTAGAAACAGGATTTTTTTTTTTTTTTTAGAAATAAGTTTACTGGACTGATATGTGATCTCAGTCCTCCTATAGGAAAATAAATGCTGAACAATCTCACCACAAAGGAAAAAAAGAAGTGAGGTGAGAGAAATATGGCTCTACAGAAGGATGCTGAGAATACCATGGACTGAACATATGAGCAGTGATAAAATTTTATAGAACATGGAAACGTAAAGGATACTTATATGTAGCCTCAGAAATAGTTGAAATTTCTAGGGTTCATCATGAGGAAAGAGAGCAGTGAAAATTTGACACTCACAGGGCATATAGAATACAGAGACAGAGGAAGCCATCTATAACTTACCTAATGAGAATGTAAATGTATGGCAGAACAAGAAATGATAGGGATAGTAAGACGAACATTGCTAAGGGCTACAAAGGACAGGAAATTATGGAGAACTATGAACATAATGAAGAAGTATGGCACGTAGAATGAGAAAGTTTTGTCTAATTATTTCGACCAATCAGAATGTGTGTCAACATTTTTATGTTCAAGTACTCTATACCTGAACAAGAATTTTAAATGGACTCACCAGTATATATTGCAAATTAGAATCAACCCTCAACAAAGAAAAAGGCGGGAAACATTTTTAAATATAAAATATTTTTATTTTTGTGTTTTTACAACTAAATTTTTCTTAGTGTATTTAAGCTCTTAAAGTCCTTGTTTGTAGTTGTTTACTAAGATGAAAATAAATGTGATTTCTTTGCATGTAAGTGTGAGAAAAATGAGGCAAGGGAGAAAATGAGGAAGTGTAAGTGTTGTGTAGCTTGTTCAAAGGGATCACAAGGCATCTTTTTTTATAGTTTGTGGGAACATGCCCCATTACATTGAATAATGTTAAACATTTATTTTTAAAGGATTAATTTATTAACCAGAAGGATGCGCAGATCCTACGACACAAACGATTATTTTTGTCAATTGACGATTGACTGTCTGGTGTTCATTTCCGTTTTTGCTCCTCATACATTGTGATAACAACAAAAGTATTAAAAAGAATAAGTTTAATAAACGAAACTGTTCTTGGAGATTAATTCATATTTTGGAAAAAATAAAAATGGAGATGATCCATGAAAGATGAGTTCTTGTGAGTTCAAGCCCTACTACAGTCTACTTTTTTCTTTCATCATTTGTTCCAGTTGTCAAAGAATTGATTGCTACAATGTGTTACATCAAAAAGTCGCAACAATAAAGATGGGTGGGGGGGGAACGAACAATAAAATAAAAAGGAAAATTCTGAGGTTAGCCATATTCTTTTTACATTCAATATTCATCAACCGAACAGTTAGCATTAAGGGTGAAATTTACAAAAAATTTTCTCTTAGAGCAGTTTTTCGAGAAAATATGCTTCTCAAGTCTACTGCTATAGCTATTTCCAGTATTAATAGGAAGTCAACATCAGGATTTTATCATTACTTTTCCTTTCCAGCTATCTATGCTATCCATTTAAGTTGTTGCTGTTATTGGAAGTCTTCAAGTGATATGATTAAGAGAGTGCTAGGCAAGAAAGAATATTTCCAGTTAATATTTCTCCATTCAAGGCATTATTATATTTGTGATACAGTAACAACTTATGGGCATGTGGACAAGAGGTTAAAATGTTTGCTTTCTGATATCCATGTTTGAATCTCACCATGGTTGATTTGTCAAGAAGGTGACTTCTTGATGGTATCATTATGTGGGAGGCAATCCCAGCATGCATCACCTTTGCAAAGAGTCTGAAAACCATACCACAGGTAGCAAAATTGCATAGACAGAACTCTTTGGAATTCGTTGATGTTTGTGCTAGAATGAAGTCACAAGTCATCGTGACTGAGTGTTTGAGCATGCTGGCTTATTCAGACTGTTCATCATGTTAGATAATGCACTCTCTCCCAGAAACTGTAACTAAGGTCCACTCAGTATAGTTTCAGTATAAACCATGGGGGCTCTCTCAATAAATACAAATCTACCTAAGCACACATCTGTAACCGGGATTAGCTAGCCACCCTTGTAGACAGGTATCCTTAGATATGAGTGGCTAGCCATTATTAATACATAGATGGAAAGAAATGGCTGAAATGACAAATCTGTATTATTCTCAAAGGTATTTTATATACCACTATGTCATAGAAGAAATTATATTCAAGCAGGTTTGGTTAAATAATTTAGATGTATTATGTCTATT